AAAACAAAAAAAAAAAAAGGGGTGGGGGGCTGTGAGCCATGTGGATTCTTGGGACTGCTCCTTTGGCTTCTGCAAGAGCAGCACGTGTTTTTAACTGCTGAACCATCTCCAGCTCCCCTGCCCAGTATTTTTGTTTTTTTTATTTTTTGAGACAGTGTTTCTCTGTGTAGCTTTGGAACCTGTCCTGGAACTCGAACTCAGAGATCCGCCTGCCTCTGCCTCCCGAGTGCTGGAATTAAAGGCACGTGCCACCATTGCCCAGCCCCCTGCACAGTTTCTAATCTTGTGCCAAAGATTGAACCCAGGACCCCATACCTGCTAGGCAAGTACTCTACCAGCTGAGCTGCATCTCCAGCCCCCAGTTTTTGCCTTTTATTTCTTCTTGCCTTGTTAACTGGCTAGGGCCTTCAACCTAATGTTCTATAGAAGTAGTGTAAATAATCATCAATGCCTTTCTCTTTCTCACAGCATTAGGGGACAGCATCTAGCTTTTCTTCATTATAAATACATTAGCTTTAAACTTTCACAAATAATGTTTTGTCAGATTGAAATTCTCTTATTCCTAGTTTGCTGAGAGTATCACAAATGTGTATTGAGTTTTGGAAATGTTTTTGGCATCTACTGATGTGATCTTGATTTTTCTCTTTTTATGGTTTGTTATACCAACTGGATTATCTAACGTCAAACTAATCTTGCATTCTTGGTACAGGCCCTTCTTGGTCATGCTATATTATTCATTGAATATGGGGCTGGGCTCAACTTACTAATCTTTTCCCTTTTTCATATCTATCATGAGAAAAATTAATTTGTGATTTTTCTTGCTTGTAAGTCCTGCTAGGTATTAGGGCTTGGTTAATTCTGGTGCATTAAGAAGCATATACATTTTAACATAAAATTAAACATATACACTGTTTTGTAGGGTTTTCTTTCTATCTCATGTATTTTGGAGAACTCTTCATATACAACATATAAGCCTAGTTTTTAAGTAGCTGACTGGTGTCTGTCTCATAGTATGGATGTTCCCAAAATATTAAACTCCTGTTAAAGAGTATTTAGAACTGGGCATGACGGTGCACACTTATAATCTCAGCACTTGGGAGGCGGAGGCAGATGATTTTGAGTTCAGAGTCAGCCTGGGTTATATAAGACTGTCTCAAAAAATAAGTAGATATCAAAAAATTGAAAAGGATGAGCTAGAGAGATGGCTCAGCATTTAGGAGCACTAACTGCTCTTCCAGAGGACCTGGATTTGATTCCCAACACCCACGTGGCAGCTCATAACTCCAGTTCCAGAGGACCTGACAGACACATGCAGGCAAAACACCAATGCACATGAAATAAAAAATAAATCATTTTTAAAAAAAGTTGGCGTGGTGGCACATATCTTTAGTCCCAGCACTTGGGAGGCAGAGGCAGGTGGATCTTCATGAGTTTGAGACCAGCCTGGTCTACAAAGCAAATTCCAGGACAGTCAGAGCTACACAGAGAAACCTTGTCTCAAAGAAATTTTAATAACATTTGAATTGTTTCTGTTCTATATTGATTTTTTGTTGTTGTTTGTAGAAATAACACATGCTTGGTGGGGTGGTGGTGGTGCACACCTTTAATCCCAGCACTTAGGAGGCAGAGGCAGGTGGATCTAAGTGAGTTCAAGGCCAGCCTGGTCTACAAAGCGAGTTCCAGGTCAGCCAGGGCTATTACACAGAGAAACCTTGTCTTGAAAAAGAAAGAAAGAAAGAAAGAAAGAAAGAAAGAAAGAAAGAAAGAAAGAAAGAAAGAAAGAAAGAAAGAAAGAAAGAAAGAAAGAAAGAGAAAAGAAGAAAGAAAAAGAAAGAAATAGCACATGCTCATTGTGAAAAACATGACTAATATTTTGAAATATAACTAAAACAAAAATCACTCATGATAAAGCCTTGAGATAGCGATAATGTATGAAATGTTTTAAGCATCATTAGGAACCTATAGCTATAATCCAAGTAAGTCATCTAACATAGGATCATCTCTCTATAATGTTAAAGTAGGATTAAATGATAGACTTGGAAGACTGAGGCAGGAGTATCACAAGTTCAAGACCAGACTGGACTACACAGACTGTCTCAGAAATAAATACTGGGGCTAGAGAAATGGCTGGGGGTAAGAGTATTCACTGCTCTTCCAAAGGGCCAGGGTTTGCTTCCTAGAATCCTCAAGGCATTTCACAAACATCCGGACCTCCAGTTCTAGTGACTCTGACCTCCCCTTCCAATCTCCTTATGGACTGCACACACACATACATAAAGACAAACACTCATACACATTAAAAAATCTTTTAAAAAATAAGTTAAATATATAACCTAAGCTTCCATTACACATTTTATAACCATTGCAAGAAGCCCAATATCCTAATACTTTTGAAATAGTCTTAAGATGAGCAGCATGTCCCAATGAATTTAATAGAACCATATAGCTTTTTTTCTTAATTACCCATAGAATCATCTTTGAACACTTTTAAAGAAACATCTCTTTAAAGTATGTTTTTAAAAGTGCAACTAAGCCAGGCAGTGGTGGTGTATGCCTTTTAATCCCAGCACTTGGGAGGCAGAGCCAGGTGGATCTCCGTGAGTTCAAGGCCAGCCTGGTCTACAGAGTGAGTTCCAGGAAAGGTGCCAAAGCTACACAGAAAAACCCTGTCTCAAAAAAAAAAAAAAAAAAAAAAAAAAAAAGAGTAAAAGTGCAACTCCTAACCTTTTCTTATTAATGCAGAATGAATGGCATTAAAGGAGACTTTTAAATCCCATTTACCTCCCTATAATACTCTGAGAACTATTCTAAAAAATCCTGTACTAAAGGGAAATACAGCAAAAGGGGTAAGAGCTCGGGTTCCGTAGGCCCAAGTGTGAACGCCAGCTTGGTAGTTCCTTGCCATGTGGTTCCAGTCATGTCACTTGCCACATTTATACTTCAGTGGCCTCTGTGAAACAAAAGCCGCAATAGCTTCTGTTTTTATAAGCATGGAGTGAATCCATCTAGAGAACATGTCCCCAGTGCTCACATAATGCAGGAGCAAATGAGGAGCAGACTAGCACTGCATAAAGGTGCTGGTTCTGCAGCTCAGTGGCCTCTAACAAGTTATGTTTCTCCTTCTTGGGTTGTCCAAAGAGTTAATAGTTAGAAAGTGCTGGAGTGGCCAATACACGCCGTTATGTCAGACTTCATTAACTAGATTGTCCTATGTATATACAGATGTGTCCCACCAAGCTCCATTGCTTAGGCATCGTCACCCCACTGTACTCTTTCACTGACAAACTTCTATTGACAGCCTGGTTCTGCTGCTCCCCTAGATCCTATCTAGCAAGTTGCCTCAGAAGGGCCAACCCAAGAAAGGTCTCCATGGATTTATGCCTGAAGACATCAAAAAGGAGGCAGCCCGGGCTTCTAAGAAGGTTAGAATTTCCTGAAAGGGGGACCTTGGGGTAGGCCTCTGTCATACATGTCTCAGAATTCGTCTGTCTCAGGGAGGCAAACCCAGGGCCGGGGTATGGTAAGCAAGCACTGTACCACTGGGCCACACCCCTGGCCAAGTCCTTATCTTTGGTCCCATTTCTTCTGGAATGTTTCCTCAGCAAAGAGAGGATGCAGCACCCTGAGAAAATAAGAAAATGCAGCACTTCTTGAAGTTCAATTCTAGGGTGCCCTGGATCACTGAGGGAAAGGGAATAGCTGTTGTTTCCCAGAATTTCCAGTCATAGAAAGAAGAACCACAACCTCTGTTTGTCTTTCTCGGGTCACAAAACATTGTCTGGAATCTATCTCATTTGCAGATCTGCTTTGTGTGCAAGCAAAAGGGAGCTGCTATCAAATGCCAGAACGAGCAGTGTGTCAAAAACTTCCATCTTCCCTGTGGCCAGGAAAGGGGTTGCCTTTCACAGTTTTTTGGAGAGTACAAGTGAGTGTGGAAGGAAAGAGCTGGGTTGCCCTTCTGTAACCTACTGTTTAGACACCCCTGAAATCAGGACCCAGTTCTCACGAGACCGTGTGCATTCTCCAACAAATCTGTCCCTCCACTTAATGATGGGAAACAGTGTCTTGACTTGGAAGTTTCACAGGAGTTTCTTCTTGCTTCCTGTCCCCTCCTTAAATTACAAACAGCTGGGGTTCTTAGACAGCTGTTCATAACTAAATAGGGCTTTCAATAATGGAAAGCTGTGGAGACAGTCCTCGAGCTTTGCTTAGTGTGTAAGCAGCCATGAGAAGTCATGTGACAGTTCTTCACCTGCCTTTCTGAGGGGAGAGCTATTCACTGGGCACCAAGCAAATAGCTGATTGCCCTTGCTAGGTCAGGCAGCTGGGAATCTGCATAGTGACAAGCCAGAAACCCAGTCTGTTTACCCACCACAGATCATTTTGTGGAAAACATCGCCCAACACAGGACATCCAGCAGGAAGGTCTCGAGGAGGAAAGCTGCGTCTTGTGTTGCGAAGACTTATCCAGAATAAGTGTTGAGAATATCCAGAGCCCATGTTGTAATCAAGCTATCTACCACAGAAGGTGTATCCAGGTGGGCTTTCTCTGCTCTGGGGAGGGAGCGGGGAGCCTTCCATGATTGCTCTGGCTCTGTGCTTGGAACCAAGGCAACCTGAGAATGCTCAGGCATGTCTAAGCTTCAGAACTGCACACTGCAGGCCTGTAAACAGGAACTGCTTCCAGGTCAGTGAGGGAATAGTCAACCCAGTCTCGGGTTATCCTTGGCCTAGAGCCTCATTCATAGTAAGATTTAGAGTAGGCAAAATCATCAGGATTGCCAAAAACAAATGGGTATTTCCCAGAATGAGTCAGAGCTCAAAATCAGCCTCACTACCAGGATGAAAGAAAAGGGACTGTATCCCGAGTACCTGACCCCTGTTGAGTCAGCACTGCCAAGCCCCACAGCCAGAGATGACAACTGAGGCACTCCTGGGAGCTCTTCAAAAGCATTCTGGGCACAGGCCTGACACCTGGTGGCAGCCCTCATCTGAGTAGGCCCAAACTGCCTTTCCTGAACTCCCCTGCGGGTGGCCTGAGCATTTTCACAAATGCCTTCCTCTCTTACAGAAATATGCCCACACGTCAGCCAAGCACTTCTTCAAGTGCCCCCACTGTAACAACCGAGAAGAGTTTCCCCAGGAGATGCTGAGAATGGGGATTCACATTCCGGACAGGTAGTGCCAAGTCTGCGAGGCAGGAGCTGAGCCAGGGAGTGGGTCGTTTGGATTTCTAGACAGGAGGTGAATGTGAGGATAGTTCAGAGACTGGCAGCAACTGAGGCGCTGATGTACCATGAAGTGAGAAGAGTGCTTTTCAATCATCCAAGAAAAGGGAGGGGGAAGTGGGCAGAAGGCCTTTTCCTGAAAAGGTGCTTTAACACCTAACAGATGTCTGGGGATGGGGAGTTTGTACCCCAGGGTGGAACTAAGGAACCCCCATGTTCCACCCCAGTGCATTGGTCCTCTTCTCGCAGCCAGACTGCTTGCCCAGTCTCGTTGGCAATGCTCAGGCAGCCTTTGAACTCCTGCTGTGTGTGGCTTGGATTCTTCCTCGTAAACAGAAGTTCACCAGCAGATTGGGTATCCCCTAACAACCAGCTTCTTTTCCCCCTGCAGAGATGCTGCCTGGGAACTGGAGCCAGGGGCTTTCTCTGAGCTGTACCAGCGCTATCAACACTGTGATGCCCCCATCTGTCTGTACGAACAAGGCAGGGACAGCTTCGAGGATGAAGGGTAGGAAGAAGCTCCTGGGCAGCGCCATCTTAGAAAGCAGGAAGTCTGCTCCTGTCTACAACCCTCTGGATGAACCCAGTTGCCAAGTCCCACTTTTGACCAGCCCCTGACTTATTCATGCACGAATGGGCAGGTCTCCTCTGCAGGGCCTGCTGTTTGTACCCACTGAAGAGACATTCAGGGTCAGTTCCTTTCCAGATTCATCCTGCTGGGCGATGTGCCTACCTGTCGCCTCTTAGAATCAACTCAGCACCCCAGAGCCACAGGGTGTAGTAAGTGTGTATAGTAAAATTAAATTAAAATGCCCTTGCAGTTGGAGAGATAGCTTAGTGGTTAAGAGCACCAACTGCCCTTCCAAAAGACCCATGCCCTATTCTTAACATCCACATAGCAGCTCCCAACTGTCTACAGCTCCAGTCCCAGGGAATCTGACACCTTCTTTGGCCTCCATAGATATTGTATGCACATGGTACATATACATGCATGCAGGCAAAACACCAATACACGGGGCTGGAGAGATGGCTCAGAGGTTAAGAGCACTGGCTGCTCTTCCAAAGGTCCTGAGTTCAATTCCCAGCAACCATGGATGGTTGTGGCTCACAACCATCTGCAATAATATCTGGTGCCCTCTTCTGGGCTGCAGGGATGCGTGCAGGCAGAACACTGTATACATAATAAATAAATAAATCTTTAAAAAACAAAACAAAACACCAGTACACATAAAAAAAATTCCCAGGAAGTTCTGGATGGTAGGTACCATTCAAAAGTGACAGTTGGTGTCCTGATTGGCCCTACATCTCTCCATGGCTCTTCCATAGGCGGTGGCGCCTCATTCTGTGTGCTACATGTGGATCCCATGGAACCCACCGAGACTGCTCCTCTCTTAGACCTAACAGCAAGAAATGGGAGTGCAATGAGTGTTCACTTGCTTCAACCATGGGTAAGGCTTGAAGAATGGTCTGGTATAAGAAGTGAGATGGGAGCCGGGTGGTAGTGGCAGTGCAGGCCTTTAATCCCAGCACTTGGGAGGCAAAGCGGCCTAGGTAGATCTCTGAGTTCAAGGCCAGCCTGGTCTACAGAGTGAGTTCCAGGACAGCCAGAGCTACACAGAGAAACCCTGTCTCGAGAAACCAAAGAACTGGGATGGGGATGGGGACTTTTCATGCCTGAGAATGGGGAAAGCATGTCACAGAAGGGAGCTTTGACCGGGCACTATAGCTTTGAAAGCTGCTGCTGAGGGTTTAAAGACCTGTCCACGGGAGAAACTGAGGGCTGAGTTTACCTTCCCTTCTCTACCTTTCTTTCACCACAGATTACATATCTGAAGACTTGGGTGACATCCCCTGATGTAGCAGTGCCTTCCATTCCCAGGAGCATCACTGCAGGGCCATCAACCTGGAAGAGAATCCAGACTCTTCCTGGACTGAGTGGCTGCACCCTTCCCTATTAGAAAAGCCTGAGTCCTCTGGCGGCAGGAGAAGGTGCTCCTGGAGATCCAAAGGCGTCAGAATCTCTAAGGGCTGCCAAAAGCCCACGTAACAGCTTCAGAAGAGCTGCTGCTGCTGCCGGGACAGTGTCTGGAGAGGTAGCATTTGGAAAGCGTGAGACAAAAGGGGCCAGCAGTGAGGTTAGCAGCCAAGTGAAGAGGTCGGGGGAGGCCGAGAGGAGACCTGAGTCTACATGCCGACAGCTGAGTGTAGGGACTCCTCTGCTCTTTCTCCTCACCTCTTTTCCTCTCTCACCAAGATTCTTCCCCTCTACATGGTTCTCATGTGCCTCTTCCTGCTTCAGCCATTTGTTATCCACAAATAAAGTTGTCTCTCCAGTGGTGGCTCCTTAGGACTTTTCTCTGGAATCTATCTAGTACACTAAGGAATCTGGAGGGTAGAGTGAAGGTATAAGAGAACTCAGCCTTCTGATCCCCGAAACGAGTCACTAAACTATTGAACATAGAGCATAGATGTGTTCTTTGGGAAGGAATCAGCTTGCAGGGTCACTGGGATTCCAGGGGCATAGAGTGTCACCCTTATGCAAATAAGTGCCTAAGTTCTGGGCAGTGAGCCAGCTTAGCAGTCCACTTTGGTCTGACATCAGGGCCCTGTAGCGAGGCCGAGGGCCCTGGACTCAACCTCATAGGATTGCCATACTTATGTGGGGCAGGCTTCCTCTCTAGCCAGTGTGGTCTTAGCTCTCTAGCTAGAGTGAGCACCGAAAGCCCCAGCGCCTGGTGGCTGGAGCATTTCTGAGTCGTGTAACTTGAACTTGAAGAGCACAACATCCACATTAGGCAAGGCAGCTAGGATGGGAATCTGGCAGAGGGCCTGGGGAGAAACTGAACAGCGCCTATCTTACATTTATATGTTTTTAATGATTTCATGGGGCTTGGGTTAGTGGGGGAAACACGGAGCATTGCCACATACTGAATTCCCTAGGTTTCAGTGAGTCATTGTCACTAACAGTGGAGGCCAGTGTTCTCATTTCAAATATTGCTAAATCCCGCAGACTTAGATCCAAGTTGTAGATGGTGATTGCCTTCAGATTGGACTAGATTCACTTGAAAGCATCAGCACTGTTACAATTAAAACATACAGGAAAGTAATACGTTCTTTTTAATATGTCAAGGTATGTATTTTTAGATCTGTAATACATTCATTTAAAAATCTGCAGCGCCTAGGAGTGGGGCTCAGCGGTAGGACACATGCTTGCCATATGCAAGGTCCTGGCGCCACCACCCTCCAGCACTTACAGACTTATGGAAGTCATTAGACCATTGAGTCCTAAAAGGATAATGATGAAAACCACTCATAACTCACCCTTCTCTAGTTCTAGTCCTAGTTCCTGAAGACAACTACTGCCATTTTTAAGCAGTTTCTTGATTTAGTAATATTAGACATCATTGACTTCTTATGGTAGAACAGGTTTAGCACCTTAGGAAATTCCCATTGTCAGTCTCTCGTGATAATTTAGATATCATGACTATAATAATGTGATTTAGTACTGATCCAGACAATACATTATGTTTTACCTTTCCCTAGATGAGTCATGGCCCTCTTTTGCTTTCTTTGGGTTGGGGTAGGGGTGGAGAGGCACTGTTGTCTTTTGAGACAGTATCTTGATATGTAGTAGCCCTGGCTGGCCCAGCACTTGCTATGTGGGTAGAACAGGGTGGCCTTGAACCCACAGAGATGTGCACGTCTCTGCCTCTCGAGTGCTGGCATTAGCGGCCAGTGCCATCATGGCCTCTTTTATTTGCCGTGCACCTATTGCTAACTCTAGATGGTGCATCACTGTCGGTGGTGCCTCTTTTCTGGGAGGCCGCCTTCTACAGCCTCGCCTAAGCTGCCTGCTCCTGGGTCTGCTGAACAACTGCTCTCCTAGGGTTTCCTGGAACGGGGCCCCTTTTCTTCATTTTCTACTTCATAGGTTTGATGGGCAGGACATGTCTTGTTCTGCAGCCCAGGCTGGCCTGGAACTCACTGCAACCTAGGCTGGCCTCGGCCTCTCAAGTACTAAAATGACAGCTTTGAGCCACAATTGCTTTAGTTAACTTTTTTTTTTCTTTCAGTTTTTTGAGACAGGGTTTCTCTGTGTAGCTTTGCGCCTTTCCTGGATCTCACTCTGTAGACCAGGCTGGCTTCGAACTTACAAAGATCTGCCTGCCTCTGCCTCCCAGTGCTGGGATTAAAAGCGTGCACCACCAACGCCTGGCTGACTTTTTTTTTCAAGACAAGGTTTCACTGTGTAGCCCTGGCTGTGTGCTGCAGGCTGCAGGAATATATCATAAGAACTCAGCTGGTGCCGGGCGGTGGTGGCGCATGCCTTCAATCCCAGCACTCGGGAGGCAAAGGCAGGTGGATCTCTGTGAGTTCAAGGCCAGCCTGGGCTACAGAGTGAGTTCCAGAATAGGCACAAAGCTACACAGAAAAACCCTGTCTGGGGGGGAAAAAAAGAACTCAGCTGGTTATGGCAAAGTCACTACCTGGAGAGATCAGGGATTTCCTCCAGAAGCCAAATTCCAAGGAGCTTTTGGTGTTATTTAGCTTGTTATATATCAGCTGTATTCTGTTATGAAAATCATGTGTGCCTTCTTAGTTTTCCCAATTGACTTTTCCCTAAGAAGGGCTAACAGTGTGGACTGATCACTCTCTGGACATAGACATTCCAGGTATTTGGAGAACAGGCTCTGGAAAGGCTTTCCCTGGAATCAGATATCTCCCTTAGCCACTTTCAAGGACTAACAGTGGTAACAGTCCACTTGCAAGTCTCCTGATTTAAGGTAAATCCCACAAGGAGACACTGCCTAGGTCAGGTGGACGTTAAGTAATAGCTTTACACAATTTAGTTCGGACCCTCCTTTCTTAACTTCCTCCTTTCCCAAACCTTACCTCTAGTTCCAGATCTCCCTTTAACTATCACCAGAGGCATCTAGCTGTACACTAGGGACTGAACACACTTTCCCCCACCCTGCAGATAAACGGCAGATATCTTGGACAGATAGGAGCCACAGGAAAAAAGAAGGCAGTTTTATTTTCTCCCATTGACCTATCAACTATAGATTCTTAACATTTTCTACCAATCATGTTTAAGACTGAGTTGAGCACATAAGATCCCTCTTCTTAGATATTACCTGAATTTAGCCTTTAGTTTATTCATTTCCCCATTGGTCACTTCCCTTTGGGGTTGCAAATGATAATTAACGTTTATTGCCTCCCTATGTGATTCTTATCACCCCTCCGTTTGACCCTGGAAGCCTGGCTTTGCACTGCTAAGGGAATACTGTTTGTAAGTGTATATATATATCAGGACTTCCAGGACACAGGGGGACGGAGAAGACAAAAGAGAATGGAAGAACTAGATGGGTAAGAACTTGAGAGGAACAAACTGAGATGGAGAAGAACTAGATTGAAGGGCTAGAAGAGAATACTAGAGGAACGAGATGGAAGATGAGGAAGAGCCAGATGGGGAAGTACTAGCTGGGTAAGAACAAGGTGAAAAGGACCTAGATGAGGCAGAATTAACATGAGAGAATTAAGATAGAACTTAGAGGGAGCAATAGATAAGTATAGAGAGAAATCAGGCAAGAAAGTAGCTAGGCACGAGAACAGAACTGAAACTGTGTTTAATGGATGTTATGCCAGAGGAATTAAAGCAAGTGGACTATAGAGCTCGGTGTGCTGAGATTCTATTTCCTGAAAATGGTCCTCACCGTTAGTAGTTCTCTCTCCTGAGCCCCTGAGATGTATAATATTAAGGCTGGTCCCTCTAATATTATACAAGAGCTGTGCTGGAACTCACTCTGTAAACAAGGCTGTCCTGGAACTCAGAGATCTGTCTGCCTGCCTCTGCCTCTGCCTCCCAAGTGCGATTAAAGGTGTGTGCTGTCTCTGCCTGGCTGTGCTTTTCTTTCTTAACCTGGAGTTACTATAAGTGTTATGGTCTTAAAGATTGGTGTTGTTAGTACCTTTCCGTTTATAGGAATCAATCTGTATAATACTAAAATGCAAGAAACCATCATCTTGACTGAAAAGAATAGCTCCCCAGCAGTGATCTTGAAACTCTAGCTTTGATGAAAAGGCAGAGTTTATGGTAGAAGTGTGGTGTGGGAGGGTTTTGCACCCAGGCATTCAGCCGTCCTACTTCTGTGTGCATCTGGCCTTATGGGTGCACGTGCACGCGCACGCATGCACACACACAAACATACACACACACACACACACACACACACATCTATCAAACATATCTTACTCTACATTTATACTCTCCACTGATATTAATACCTAATCCCATTCTTATAAGCCAGAAAAATCAATTTTATACTATTCTTCCTCTGGTTCAAGCCAATCATTTTCTATTAGATATCCAGATTCTCTTTAACAAACTTTTTAAAGATTTATTTTATACATATGAATGTTTTGCCTGAATGTATGTATGTGCACCATCTGTGTACCTGCTACCCATGGAAGTCAGAGGTGAGTGGGACCCCTGGAACTAGAGTTACAGATAATTGTGAGCCTCCATGTGGGTGCTGGGTCCTCTAGAAGCCCAACAAATGTTCTTAACACCTGAGCCTTCTCTCTAGCCCCTTAAAATTTTCATTTTAGCACACACCTTTAATCCCAGCACCTGGGAGGCAGAGGCAGGAGGATCTCCGTGAGTTTGAGGCCAGCCTGGTCTACAGAGTGAGTTCCAGGAAAGGCGCAAAAAACTACACAGAGAAACCCTGTCTCGAAAAAAAAAATCATTTTTAAAAAGTTTACAGGGGGAAATGTGAAGATAATGTAAAGAATTCTTACATACCCAAACCTAGAACTTCTTCCCCCCCCCCCCCAGCCAGGGTTTCTCTGCGTAGCTTTGCGCCTTTCCTGGAGCTCACTTGGTAGCCCAGGCTGGCCTTGAACTCACAGAGATCTGCCTGGCTCTGCCTCCCGAGTGCTGGGATTAAAAGGCGTGCGCCACCACCACCCGGCTAATGCCCAAAACTTCTTATTACTGATGTCTTAGATTCATATGGTGAATTTCTCACAACAAATAAACCAATATTGTTACATAATAATCCACTAAAGACCACACATTATTCAGCTTTTCTTGGTTTTCCCCTATATTTTTCTTTTGGTTTGTTTCAGATTTCTACCCAGGACTACATAGTACCAACTCATCTTTTTGTTTTGTTTTTGTTTTTTTGTTTTGTTTTGTTTTTTTGCTTTTTGAGACAAGGTCTCACAATGCTGCCCTAGCTGACCTGGAACTCATCAAGATCCACCTGCCTCTGCCTCCTGAGTTCTGGGATTAAAGACACCATGCTCAGCCACATTGAGTCATTTTCAA